TATTTGGGCCATCTTAACAGATTAAGCCCCTATTCTCCAGAACAAGACTCCATACTTCTTCTACATACAGAAAATGCCTTCTCAAGGGTAAAGTTTCCAACTTTACCTGCTACTAGTCCTTCTTAATGGGTTTAGCTAAAACCCTAGTTCTTTAGGACATAGATCTTGTCCAAAAAGCCATAATACTCCGAGCTAAAGCATACTAACATAGATCTAGACCTTAAACCTCATTTGGACACGTAAATGATGGGTTTTGAGCACTCTAACAACCTTATGGTGCACATGCAACCCTAAATGCTTTGGATCTATGTTTTCTCTAATTATACATGCAATTTGATTTTCCAAAGCATTATCCTAACTAGCATACAAAGTATGAGTACTTGAATAACAAAAAACTAGTTAGATGACTTACCTTTTGTTGTAGCTTGTTAACTTGGACCATTAAGAGCCTAGCACCCCAAATGTGATGCCTCAAATGCTTCACAAAACACCACCAACAATGGAGGACTTGAGAGAGAGTGACTTGCACAAAAACCGGCTATTATGATCTTCTTGAACCACTAGTGCCGATTTTAGGAGCTAAGGGGCTTCTTTTATAGTGTGGCAAAGTCTAGGGTTACATCCATGTAAACCCTAATGGACATGACCTTTCATATTACATAGGCTCCATGGGTTAAACCTCCATGGACTATCCATGGACTAATAGCCCAGCGTAAATAACCATTGGCCCACACTATAAGAATCATTGATTTGCCAAATCAGTCCCCGTATATTTAATTAGTCTCTTTTGATCATTGAATTAATTCAAAATTAATTCCTAACCAATACTAATTAAATAATATGATTTCACATTAATATATTAATAAATCATAAATATCCTCTTCTCAAAAGTCCATCCTGTCAAATTGTTCTGGTAAAATGCAACCCAAATGGACAATGCTACTCTCGGTTCAAGTACATACCAATTACAGTTATGGGCTTAGACACTATATCCAACAGTAAAGTCTCAGGATTTCATTCCATGCATGGCCTTTTGGGGCTTAAAAGGCCATAACAACACTTTAAAGCTTGCATGGGGCTTCCATAGCCATAAAGTTTGTACCTTTATGCCATGAAACCCCTTCTAGATCCCATATCTGAAAGATAAGTCACTTGGGACGTCCATTACCCAAGGACTAAGCTTCTTGGACCAAAACCCCCCATAAAGTGAAAATAAGGAGATCTAAGAGACTACTAGGCAAGTTACAGGCTTGATTACCAGAAAAGGATGAGGATGAGATGTTGTTTCTGGATCTACAATCTTCTCTTGGAATTCTCTAGCTTCTTCTTCTTCTACAAGCTTCAAATCACACAAGGTTCACTCAAAAATGGCTCACAAGCATTAGGGTTTCGAGATCTAGGGTTTGGACAGTGGAGGCTGGAAATGAGGCCATAAGGTGGGGATTAAGATGCTTAAATAGGGTGCAAACCCCGAATTTAGGGTTTCCCAAACCCAGACCAACTCGTCGAGTTGGTCCTCCCCAACTCGTCGAGTAGGTTTCTCAACCCGCGCCCAAAAACTTATTTCTACTCGTCGAGTTGTCCCCCTTGGACTCGATGAGTAGACTTTCAATTTGCTTATTATCTTTCCTTAATTAACCTTCTGGTTTCGAGTGTTACACTTATAGAGGCCAGATCTACATCCTCAACCTCTGGAAACCTCTTTTCTTTGGATATCCAAGCCAAAGTCCCAAAACCAAGCCCTAAACTACAAAAGATGAGATCTAATAAGCTACATGTCAAGGTTATGACTTTATACCTCCAAGATGCAGCCTTTGATGTAGAGTTTCTGGATCCAAGATCTCTCTTCCAAGCTTGGTACTTCTCTCTTCAAAACCTCCTTCAAAGATCTCAAACAATCACTCAACTCTTACAAAACTCAATGAATAAGAGGAGGAGGCGATTCTAGGGTTTTCTCTGGGCAAGGAGGCTGGTAAGGAGGCCATCCCTAGAGGTTAAGTTCTTTAAATAGGGTACAATGCCCGAAAATTAGGGTTTTCATTTCCAGCGTCAACTCGTCGAGTTGGGGCCCCCTAACTCGTCGAGTAGGTCCTCCAATCTACGCGGCTGGAAAGCTTTCTACTCGTCGAGTTGGAGCCCTCCTAACTCGTCGAGTTCCTTCCAAAAACATTAGAATTAATTCGTACCTGGACCAAACGTTACACTAGGCCCAATGATTTTTATGGTATGTGGTATTTTTGGGAACTTATTAAGCTTTGTGCTTACAGTTTTTATGGTTATGGTTTCAGATACTTCCAGTTCGAAAGGAAAGGGTTCGGCTTGATCGCAGCGCATCCACTCATGTTTCTGCAACTTCATGATTTTGGGATTGTACTCTGATAGCTGTTTTTATTCTGAAATAATTTTGAATAATTAGAAAAAGGATAATTGATGTTTCTGATTTACACTAAAAGATTATAAAAAATATTAAAATTTATGATTTTTAATTCCCTATAAAAAGTATAATATTTGTATAAAATATATTTTAAAATAAACATAAAAAGGTAAAAGAAAATGAACTGTGGTCATTTCTTAAGTTTTAAAGAGTGAAAATAAAATGAAAGAAAAGTTGACGAAGACATAAAAAATGAAAGGTGAAAAATATATACACTGTTAGCCTAACGTTCGATTCTATTTCCACATCAATTACTGCATATCGAATGCTATTAAAAACTTTTTTTTAACAATATATGCTAAAAGTGATGGTCAGACGATATGTTGAAATGAATATTTTGTATTAAATTAAACATGTTTTTGTTGATCCCAAATATGTTTGTTTATTCTTTTAGTAATTAAGCTTGGGTTAATATAATTAAAAGTATATATAATTAATAATAAATGAAAAAAAGACTAATAAATATTAAAAGCATCATGGTAAATAAATAAATTAAAAAAAAAACTCGGCCAACTCTTTGTGGGTTTTTGGCTAAGCTTATTTAAGGAGTTTTTTTTTTCTTATTTTTTTTAACTTATTATTGATTTCATACCGGTATAAACAAAAATTAATGTTTGGATAGAAAAATTTAAAAAATAGCTCAATGTAATAAATTACGCACATGTAACTTATCAAAATTTTCTTATTTCATGTAATTGAGAATGGACCAATATGCTCCTTAACTTAATAAAACCTCGACAAAATTTCACAAATGATCCTTATGATTTTGATTTTGTCCCCAAAATAATCCTTATGAAACCTGTTTTTTGCATTAATGATCCATTTGGATAAAATTTTATACTCTTGTGATCCTTAGAATGAATGTCCGTCGTATAGATCCGTTAAGTTGAGAGAATATTAAAACTATTTTTTGACATTTTGTGAAACTTTGGCTAAAGACTATTTGTGAAATTCCACCTTAGGACATTTGTGAAATTTTAAAAAAAGTTTGTTAAATCTTGTATTAATTACCACAAATCAAATAAAAAGACAAAAAACAAAAACATAGAAAACGTAATATTTATATAAATAAAAAAAATAAAAATTACTAATTTTAAGCATTATGAAAGTATATTTAACTAAATATATAAATAATTTTTGTTCTCTAAACTTTATCTAAAATCTTCAAACTACAATACATCATTAAATATTTTTGTTTCTATTTTTTATCTAAAAAAATTGAAGTATAAAAACATCATTTTATCTATTTCTAATTTTTATGTGATATTATTTTCTAGATTTATCTTTATTTTTTATACAAATATATTTATTTTTAATAAATATGATGTATTATTATAAAAAAATTATGTTATTATAAAAATAATAGTATGCTGCTATTTTATTTTAAAAATATAACTATATGGTTTTGAGCTAAAGGTAAAAATATGTTTCTATTTTTGTTTCATAATATAAGTAGATTAAATTATACTCTCTCCCTCCCAAAATTATTGTCCACGGACAAAAAAACACATAGATTAAGAAAAGCAATCATTAGTTTTGTCTTTTTGAGTAAAATGACCATCTTGTCCTTTTCTAAAACCAATAGGAAATGTGCGTTTGTAATTATTCAAGTTTACTTTATTAAATGTTAGGGGTAATATGGTAAAAATGTATATCTACTTTTGGTAGTGGACAATAATTTTGGGATAAACTAAAATAGTAAGGTGGACAATAATTTTGGGACGGAGGGAGTATATTTCGATATAAACTTTTGATATCTATTTTTTTTTAAAAAAAATTAATTAGTTTTATCAAAATTTAAATATATTCCTTAATAAAGACATAAACTTTTCAATGCAAAATTAAAAAAATATCTGTTAGAAAATAATAAAATAATAAAATCTTTATAATTACTTTAGTCTTTTTTTTTTTTATCTACGCAGGCTAAAATAATTAACCATATGAATAATATGACATTAATTACATTTAATTCATTTTCTTTGAAGGAAAATAAAAATATTTTATATGTTTAAAATGTTTGTGTTTCATAAATAATAACATATCATTTTTTATAAAAAAATTTATATTTGTATAAAAAAAAATAAAGATAAATCTCAAAAATAATATCACTTAAAAATTAAAAATAGATAAAATGATGTTTTTTAGTAATCAAATTGTTTTAGATAAAAAAAACAATAGAAAACAAAAATATTTAATGATGTATTGTAGTTTGAATATTTTAGATATAGTTTATACAACAACAAATATTTATTTATTAAAGAAAAATCTTCATAAATGGTCCATGTCGTTTCCAAAAAAATCAAGTTCGGTCTTTAACTTGGTCTATGTGGTTTAAAAACTTTTAATGGACCATTCTTATGACTAACACCGTTTATTTGTCTGTTAATTCTGAACATGTGCGAGGCATGTGAGGGCAAAATTGTCTTTTACAAGCCACAATGATTATTTGTGAAGATTTTTCAAATTTATATTTAGACTAAACCGTGTACCTCTTCTGTCCACTGTGTCTCGACTCCTCTTCCTTCTTTTTCTAGACCCACCTACAAGACCTAATGTCGCCCGGAAAATGCCTCCCATCTGTTGCTTCTTGTTATCTCCTCGTCATTGGAATATTCCAGATCTCACCTGTTGCTTCATGTCTCTTCTCCAATATACTCTCTCTCTCTCTCTCCCTCTCTCTCTACATATAGATTTGTATACGTAATGCAATTTTCTTCAAATCGTCATATTAATATCTAAGTTAATTTCGTAATGTATTCATTTATTTTGGGGATCAATCTTGTTTGATTTTGATGCACTAAGATTGTTCAAAGGTAAAATTACGCTATAGGATTAGGATACCAAACATGCGTTAACAGGTACTTTTTAGACCATGGTTGTCTGTTGGTTTCTTCACATTCATTTACATTTGATAGCGTGAGTGAAGAACCCGATACTGAGGTTGGTTTGGAGAAGCCTTTGGATTTTACAGCTAGTTGGGATCATGGATCTGGAGGTGCTCTTGGTGTTAAGGAGGTGCGGTGGATAACTTTTGCTAATAAACCTGTTGAGAATGATGGTAATTGGTTTGGGTCCTATAACTATTTTTGGTGTCAAGGATTTGAAAAGTATGATGACATTTGTTAGTTCTTTTCACTCCAAGGATGAGATGCGACAATTTTTAACAAAAAAAAAAGATGATTTGATGAACTTATATCCCTGGATAAAAAGAAGCAATAGGTAGGAGACATTTTCTAGGCGACATTAGGTCTTGCCGGAGGTGGGTCTAGAAGAAGGAGGAGGCAAGACACAATGAACAGAAGAGGGATGGGGTTTAGTATAAGTATAAAATAGATTTTTTTTCATAAATAGTCTCGTGGTTTGTAAAAGATGATTTTTTCCTCATATGTCTCGCACATGTTCGGACTTAACAGACAAAAATAGATGATGTTAGCCATAAGGACGATCCATTGAAGGTTTTCAAACCACAAAGACCATCCTTGAAGACAAAATAAATAAATAAAGATCAAATTCGATTTTTTTGGAACCACGTGGACGATTTATGAAGATTTTCCTATATAAAATAAAATATATTTGCATGATTAAAATTAGTAAGTTTTATTTTTTTATTTGTATAAATTTTAAATTTACTATGTTTTAGTTTTTTGTCTTTTTATTTGATTTATGGTAATTAATACAAGATTTAATAGATTTTTTTTTTTAGTTTCATGAATGGTCCTTAGGCGAAATTTCAGAAATGGTCCTTAGGTTAAGTTTCATAAATTGTCAGAAATGGTCATTATCTAAAAAACCTTCAACTTAACGGATTCATCTAACGGACATTCATCAGAAAAACCATTGGTGTCTAAGGTTATGTCCAAATGCACCCTTCATGCAAAAACAGTTTCATAAAGACTGTTTTGAAGATAAAATTAAAACCATAAGGACCATTTGTGAAATTTTCTCTAAAACCTTACTCCTTGTACTTACCATTACAACATCGCCTCTTGCTATCTGCTCCTCACGTCGACTCTCCCCTGTGAAGCCACCGGCCGGAGACATTCGATAGCTGCAACTCCGTCGCACCCAACCCCAGGTCCCATTTTTCTTCCTTCTTTTCTGCTTTCTTTCTTCTTTTTTCCGCTTTCTTTGAAATCGCCAATTGATGTTGTTGGTCGATTTCTTTTTATCCAAAAGGTTTTCTTTTCCGTGATTTCCTTCTTCACAAACGAAATTTCGGTAGTATTTTTTTAATATCAATCTTCAAGTTCAAGTTTTCCCCTGGAATTCTGTTAGGTGATTTCTTACTTTCATTGATAATTGATTTGCTGCTACTGATTTGCTAATTGTGTTTGATGTTCAAATGTATGAAATCTGATGTGTACAGTGTTCTGTAAAAAATGGAATGTGTTTGCAGGCAAGCTGTTTGATCAAATGCCTGAGAGGGATAATACTTTCTTAATATGAATGTTTTCACTTATCAAATCTAGTATACATGTTTTAATGTTTAACTTTTGAATTTTTATGTTGGTAAGTTGGGAATGAACAATAGATGCTACTGATTTCGTCCTAGTGTTTTTGGATGATGTTCTTAAGATGCTTACTTAAATGCTTATATAAGCATTTTTCTTTTGCCAAACACTAAAAAGTGCTTATCAGCTTATAGAATTTTGACACTGGATAAGCTATTCCAAACACTGTTGTAAAAACTCCATTTTGACACCACTGTAAGTTAAAAAGTGCTTATCATTTTAAATTAGCTTAGCCAAACACACTCTTAAAAATCGTCCAGATAGAAACCCTTGCTCAAACAACACTTGGCTGAAGCCTTCAAATCACTCAGGCTGTCTTCTCTTCTGTCAAATCTCTTTTCATTTGCTCTTTGTATTCTTCAAATACCGGAATTGCAGGTATTTTCTTCACCCACTTAACTGTTTTATATAAAATCAAAGTTTTAATTTGATTTATTTTGAATTCCAAATTTGGTTGACAAAATAGTCAAAATTTCACATTCTTGAGGTTTTGGATGCTCTAGCTCTGATTTTTGCTGCAGCTTTGTTCGTAATCATAGAAGACAGATTGTAGTGGGAAGTTATGAACAATCTTTCTGCATGTTTGTTAGATTGAATCAAATATGGGTATATACGCAGGGATACGTATTTTTTGCAATTTAAGATATCTTAACTAGGTTCAAATTTATGTTCAATATCTAAATCTCAATTAAATTGGATCAAGCATCAACAAACAGTGGTACTCATTGATGCATGTATGGAAGTTTGTTTCAGATAGTAGAGACAAATGGGGAGCCGAGCATTACTTGTGCTAGCACCAGCATTTTTATCTGAAAGTATTCTGCTCAACCACATCTCAAGAACTGGATTTCATCAACTCCTTACACAGAATGAAAAGAGGGTTAGGGTTCGAGGTCGCAACTACTCGATTCATTCCAATTTGGAGCGACCCGATGTGACCCGTTTAGCAGAAACCGCCCGTATCTCTCTCTCTCCACAAGAGGTACCCACCACAATACATCTTTCAAATTGTTAAAACAAAAGACTGTGTCAAATGTCATGATAAGTGTATCAAGACAAGATGTTAGATACATGTATCTATATCCGTTTTGATCATTAAGATTACATGTCAATGGTTATTTCTTGATACTATTACTATTTTTTTGTGATGCATTATAGGCTGAAGAGTTTGCTCCCAAAATTCAGCAAGTAGTAGACTGGTATTCCTCTCACCTTCTGCAGATATGATGTCAATTGTTCAAACAAGCTAAATAAACTTATCTTTAATCTTTGTATTGTGGTTATGTTTGTTTTGTGTTTATACACCAATATTATATAAATTTTCTTCACACACTTGGATAATTTGGAACAGGTTTGGGCAACTTCAAGATGTGGATCTTCAAAGTATTGAACCAGCTATTCGTGCAGGTGCTTAGATGCAAGTTTGCTTAGTTGTTTGAAAGTTTTATACTTGTTGCTTGCTTTAATAACATTGGAGCCTTGCCCTTGCATTGCATCAATTGTGATTTATTTATAGATACTGAAGCAGGAAGCTTTCGTGAAGATAGTCCTGAAACATTTGAGAATAGGTATTTATTTATTTTCTGTTTGTAAAATGCGCAATGGATTATTGTTCATACTTAATCTAAGAACATTGTAATCATTTGGTAACAGGGATGCTATTATAGCTGCTGTCCCAAGTTATGAGGCGCCTTACATTAAAGTCCCCAAAGTCTTGAACAAGGATTAATACAATTAGAGGTTAGCAGTTAGTAGTGCATTCAAAAGAAACAAATTTTGTGTTATTGCATTTCAATTTTCACTTTAAAAAATCCATGCCTAGACATGCTTATTGTCCTGTTTATTTATATTTTTTGATCAAGTATTGTCTAGACAAATGATGTTTAAAAATCATCTGAGCATCTCTAGTGATCCATCGCTTGCATGGGCATTTAAATTAGTTGACCAATTATAATTGTATTATTTGAATTTCATTTATAGAAGGTAGCTTCCTCTTAAGTATTGTATTCTTAATTTTATTTTCTAAAGGGTACACCCAAATGGTGTTTGTTCATAGTAATGGATTTTTACTTTCATGCAAAATAGCAACGTATATTTCATGCTATACGGTTTATAGCAACATGCAAATGCAACCGGTCAAACCACAAACATCTCACTTTTTATGATTATCACATCTATTGATGTAACTTGAGTTTCATGTGTCTACCACGATTCAAGAACTGGAAAACAATGTTATCAAGTGATGTATGATTCGGCTTTGTTATTTTAATAATGCAAATAAAAACATGTTATTTTCATACCAAAAAGATCATGAGAATTTAAGCAAAATTGAGTTTAGAAATGCATATTTCCAAAAAAAGGGAAAAAAAAATTGGGGTAGTTCGGGTCAAAGCACTAAAGCTATGTTCGGGTGAAGTAACCATTTTCATGCCCAATTACGAAACACAAAGTAACCATATTCTTCCCACTTGGCTAGTGCTAGTTGGCTTATTACAAAGTATATGAAGAAGGACAAGTGAGTGATTACAGAACATTTTGCATCTTAGAAGACCTTAGTAATTTAGTAATAGACTTCCACCATCCTTCCCCTTACAATGGCTTCCGCTTTCCTCACTTGCCTCACTGGCCCAATTACAAACACCTACATAACTCATATAACAACATCACAACTCTATTATTATATATCATTAAAGGAAAATAATAATAATAGTAACGAAGCTTTTTTATTTAAAAAGAAAAAAAAATGGTATTTACTATTTACTACTGACCTTGTCTGGTGGTCCCTTAGCACCCCCAATGAATATCTCAGCACTAAAAGCAAAGCACAAACAAAAACAACTCATCAATGGAAAATTAATAAAACGATAACCCCAAATCATATTATATAAAAATAATAATAATTACTTGCAAGCCTGCTTAATAGCCAAAATGGAAGCTCCTCTTTTACCAATAACAAGCCCCATCTTCCCTGGTGGAACATCAACAACCGATAGGATTTCTTCCTCCAAATCATTTTCATTTACCACAAGATTCTCTGCAATATTATTTATCAATCAATAGCTATTGCAAAAGGTCAAATTAGTAAATTCACAAACCTGGAACTGGAGGGAGAGGGGGCCAATCTGCATAATTATTATCAGAAATGCAGAAACATCGACAATAAAGACTACCACGAACACCAAGATACCACAATGATTTTTCATTCATCTTTACAACCATCTTGTCATATATGTACAGAAGAAAACGTACATCATCTGTAGCTGCACGTATCATCAATTCAGACAATGGTCTGTATTTCCAGAAGTTTGGGTCCTGATTCATAAATTCCATTCCATTCATTAAAACCTTCACAATATTTATTATTAATAAAATAATCATATTTTCATAACACATACCTTCCTCAGAAGAACTCTAACTTCTTCCTTCTCAAGATACGATACACCACAGTAACGTGGATCAGCAAGCAGACTAACAAATGATATGTAGTCATCTGGGACTTTTGTCCCACCTTCTTGTTCTTCAATTAAACTGTAAGCAATCTGTATTTTTTCAAAGATTAGATGGATAATCATAACTTCGTTTCTGAAAGAAGAAAAGAAGAATTAAGAGGAACTCACCTGGGTATCAAAAACGTTGTGCAATTTGATGTTGAACTGAAAATACAATGCCTACAGAAATACAAGTAAAGATCACACAAACACGTTTCTGGAAAAAGTGAAAAAGGCTACAAGTGGATTATATCAAAATTATAGACCTCACTATCTCGTTTGCAATCATGAATTACTTTAGTGATGTGACTAGATTCAAGGGCAGGCTTACAGGCTTCAATTAGTGAATTTCCACCTTCAATTGCATCAACCAGATATATGGCATCTCGAAAGGCTAACTGTAAGATCAGAAAAGAAAGCCACACACAAATTTAACCAAAAGCAAAGTTGAATAACTTATAAGAACATGAAATCAGAGATTCGCATTTTACCTGCATGATACACAAGGTTCCATTTCTACAGAGGTCGACACCTTCACAGTCAAAACCAATCACCAATTTGTTATCAGGAGATGGTTGTAAGAATTCAGATGGAAGTTGGCTTGCATTAGTAACAATGTGGACAGGAACTGCTTCCCCGCCTGAAAAACAACTTCAAATTAATAGATAATAACACTGTGTAAAGAATCTAAGGCCTCGTTTGTTTTTCTACAAAAGTACTTTTTGAGCACTTTTCCCTTCTGACGGGTAGACGTTTCTCAAGTGCATGTCTTCTTCCGCAAACATGGAAAAAGACAAAAGACATTTAACCACTTTCCAAAACAAACAGCACCTAAGTGTTGTATATGCAAAGTTCATAGAGTTACAGATCTGAAAATATTAGATAATATAATCAGATGAGTAGGGGTTAGTGGTTTTCACCACTGACCAGATTTAGGGTTCTACATTGTAATCAACTGAATCGTTTCAATAAAAATACTCTGTTCGATCCAAAATTAGGGCTAAAACCGTTCGGAAGAAAAAACAATTTGATAATTAGATTACAAGTAATGAACAATCAGGCGATTAGTTTTTGACAATGTTCATATCAATTACGCCCGTCTTCCCATGGAAATCGCAACAAAATTGCTTTTATAGATAGTAGTTTGACTATTAGTCAAATGCTTTATAAAACCCTAATCATGCTGAGCAAAATAAAATTAACACAATCAACGATTTGCGACGACCAAAATCGGCAAATAGCGCTGATTCTTTGCAATTTAAAAAACAAGATCGATATCAATTACTCGACTTTAGCATGAAAATAGCAACAACTGGTTACGAAAGTAATTGTTTGACTATTAGTCAAATACTTAAAAAAGAAAAGAAAACCTAATCACGCTGAGTAAAACTAAAAGTCTAAAACAATCAGCAATCTGCAACGATCAAAATAAGCGCACAGCTATTTTTCTGCCAAATCAATAAACCACTGCAGTTTCAATAAGGGTTTGGGGACGAGTAGGTTTTAACGAGATAGTCTCGCAAGTCTTGTGCGGCAAATGTTAAACAAGTGCAAACACCATAAACCCTAAATCATTAAGCATGGAAGAACACAATAAGACGAGAAATTTACAGAACCACGAATAGAATCACAAAACCCTGAAAGCATGGTAAATGAAATGTATCAAAATCCATATTAGTATAGAGGGAGTAAGAAATGGGAATATGCCTGGGTCAGAAGGAATATTGGTCAGAGAAGTAGAAGGAGAAAGAGACGACGCCATGGCGATGATCGAACCATCCACGCAGATCAAAATACGTCCCCTCCGATCTTTACTGCCGATAGATATACGGCGAGGATTATTTTTCCGATTGAATTTGGACATGCATTACTGAGTTGTACCGTACAGTTTTTAATGTTTATACTTTTTCCATTGGCCCCTGTAGTTTCATCACTTGTTACTCTGGGCCCCTAAGTTGTATACTCGCCAAATAACACTTCATTCAGCTTGAAATCGCGATGCAAAGTTTGTTGCAACCCTAAGAAGTTCGTTGTAAAGATAAGGCTAGTTTTATTAAGCAGCAATTACGTTTTATAAACGTTAAACTTTTTTTTATATGTGTGGTCACTAAACTTCACCATTATGTTTCATTTTGGGCACGGATTGGAAAAATGACCATAATACTTCTATAGAGTTTATACGTTTGTACATTTGTCACTTTTTTATATTTAGTAGGCTTTGAATTTTAAATTTTACTGTAACACAAAACATATATTTGGCAACTTATCC